CCTCCTTAGTCACCTTCTCCAGCCACCCTCCCGAGAACCAGGGAGCCTCATTATTTATTGCTAATCACGCATCATATCAGTTTGGAGGGATCCGATTACAGAGTCATTGATCACAGAAAGGGACAATACATTTCATTCTTGAACAAGTTTGATCATTCTGGTGTCTCATACAATAAAGCCGACAATTATTATTCTGGGAGGCATGCAAGTCCCCTGAGTCACCGGGAGGGGTAGTAACATAGGCAATACAATCAATAGGAGGGGAATCACTTAGGGGTGTGCTCACATTTGTTGTGGAATAAACAGTGGCGGCTGCTTGATCTAGACAGCTGATAATGGCTATCTAACCTTGGTCATCCTTGGGCGGGTTTGCCCTCTCTAATCTCCTGCAAGTAAACAGACCACCATTCCTTATCAGAAGGGAGTGGGTCTTATTTAGGGTGAGTCAGACTAATAGTCTAGCCACTATAGATGGCTGATGTTAAGGAGAATAACCTCTGACCTACTTTCGCTGATCACCTATTGTACAGTCACTCTTAAGCAGCTAAGTCTGGTACATATTTTGGGGAGACAACTTAAGAGAAATCTTTCTGTTCCTCACAATAGTGGCAATTTTTTTTCTTTTTCTTTTTTTGCATTGGTACCACTGTACCTAATTTGATAACTTTTGATCCTCTTCACCTTCCAATTTAATGTGAATTACTATCTGCTCTTTTTTTCCTGGATAGATCTGTTGAAAGATTTAGTATCTCCGAGGGATTTTGATGCTGTCACTCATCTGGCCCTTATCAACGCTGTCTACTTCAAGGGCAACTGGAAGTCGCAGTTTAGACCTGAAAATACTAGAACCTTTTCCTTCACAAAAGATGATGAGAGTGAAGTCCAGATTCCAATGATGTATCAACAAGGGGAATTTTATTATGGTAGGAAAGATTGGTTTTATTTTTCTCTTTTTATAGTAGTTTAACAAATTTTTGAAAAATAAAGCCATAGAATATTAATTATTCAAACTGCTTCTCAGTCTAGTCTGGGTTGCAATTCAATTTCCTTGGGTCCATTTTCAAAGGCCTTTCATTGGCTTCTGAGGGAACATTATATGCATTTATAGTTTTCCTATATGTATCAGTAAATCTGTGATATCTAGAGATATCTCTAGAGTAGGTTTATTTATAATAAAATACCTCACATTGTATATGAACTTTCTGAGTTACTCCAAAATTATTTGGATTTAGTATGGTTTTATTATTAATTATCCTATGACCCATCAAGCATTTGATTTGGTATGCTTACCATATTTACAGTTAGTAATTTCTTCTATTAAGAGAACTTTAAATTTTGCTTTCAGACTGGTCTTTGTATGGCCTATCATAATTGTTCATTTATCAGTCCAGCTATAGAAAGTCTATAATTTTTTATACAACTCAATACCTTTGTCATATTTCCAGAAGTTTTTCTTTGGACTTTTCAGAAGTTTTGGTATTATTTCTTCCTACATGCTATAATAAATGCAATTCTTAATAAGTGTGTCAGCAGAAACATAGTTTAAGGTGATATATGCTCCAGATAATAGTTTGTTCTACTTAAAAGCACATTATAGACTGTAAAAGCCGTATTAGCAAGAAAGTTAAAGAAGAAAGAAAGGAAACAGAACCAAAATGTTTAGGTTTCGTTTTGGTTGGACAACTTGGCCTCAAAATTTTATAATGTCAGATACGCCCACATAGAAGCAGCAAGACAACCAATGTGACCCACAGGTTGTGAATAATAACAGCCAAGATTGGAGGAGGAAATTGTGATAGAAATGAAGTTCTGAGCACCTGGTCGTGACCAGGGATGTGAATAGACTTGCCCTCAGACAGAGTGCATTAGACAAATTAATGGAGATATAGTTCAGATAGATTTTAACGTCTTATCATTTCTTTTCCCTTTTGACTCATTTTTAATTTTTTCTAGTTTTTATTATGTTCTGCTTTCTTTTGGACTGAGGTTTTTCTATATTTTATTATGTTCTTGTTGTTGGGTTTTGTTGTATCTATTTCTTTGCGGGGGGAGGTGGGGGGGGTATAATTTTCTTTATCTGAAAGCCAAGCTAGGGAACTCTATAGAGACAGTAACTAGATTAATGCTGTAGGGTGAGGACAGGGAAGGTTTGGGGAAATGGGGAGCTAATAAAAATGAGCACAAAAAGGAAGAAAGTGGTCTGCAATTTATTGTGCTGATAATTGCACAACTATTTTTAATATGATCAAACTATTGAATTGTATGCTACATGAGTTATATGCCAATCAAATGGCTAAAACTTAAAAATATACAAGCAAGCATTTAGTGCTGTGGCAATATAGTAGCAGGTACAGATGGTCAATGTCAGTGCTTCCTTTTTATATATTGGGTGGGTAATTTCGAATTACCATCAACCTGAAGCCAAGGTGTTGTTTTCCTAATTAGGACTTTGTATTGTTTCTAATAATATCCATTAAGATTAATACAATTTATTTGCGTCATTTAAAAATGAAAAGCAAGTCTAGAGAACATGCTATGAAAATGGGACATAATTCTAGGGATTCTAAGGGTAAAACAATTCTCTAAGACCCAGGTTTCCCTTGAATTTCCAGAACTGTTTTCTGATAATCTTCTCTGATCATCAGATTCCTCATATTCTATATACATTTTTGGGGGAAATTTTAACAAATTTAAATATTTTTTAGCTTTAGGATCTAAGTGTTTCTGGGCTGGCCTTTCCTTTTAGGTGAATTTAGTGATGGGTCCAACGAGGCTGGAGGTGTCTACCAAGTCCTAGAAATACCTTATGAGGGAGAGGAGATCAGCATGATGCTCGTGCTGTCCAGGCAGGAAGTCCCACTGGCTGCCCTGGAACCACTAGTCAAGCCACAGCTCATTGAAGAATGGGCAACCTCTGTGAAGAAGCAAAAAGTGGAAGTGTACCTGCCCAGGTGAGAAGCTCCCAAGTGATTCCTCATAGAGATTGGGTTTAGAGAGCAGAGGGAAGAATAGCAACGAAGGTTCTATCTAACCCAGGAAAAATGTTGCAATTTGGATTTGGATTTTAAATCATACACTACTCTCTTCTTCCTTCTGCTCTCCTTTTTAATCTTCTTGTTCTACACCCCCCTTCTCCTCCTCTTCTGCTTCTTCTACTTCTTCTGAAGATACTCTTCTTTAGATCCATGTCATCCTGCCCGGAGACAATAGCTCACGAATTGATTCATTCGATAATATTTACTGCTTTCAGATGCTATTTAATATTCTTATATATGTTTTAGAAGATTTTTCAATAGATTTTATATGAATATCATTTGCATTGGAAGTCTCCTATATATTTCATTAATGTGTAAAGTTGATTTTATCTGGAGAGAAAATAATCTCTGACCTTTGTAAAGTAAGCAAGACACTGTGCTAGATACAAAATTTAAGTAAGTAGGACAGCAAGCTCACTGTAAAGGAAAAAAACACACTACCTGCAAGATCTTGATAAGCTAAACCACATCTACTTCCTCAACCCCAACTCTAGGCACTCATGGCATTAGGCGTTTTGTAGTAAGTACCATACAAGTGCATGTGGTTACAGCAGACACATCATGCCTCTATTTATGTTCCAATTATGGCGAAAATGCCCTCCTCACACTTCTGTCCTAGATAGTCATCACTGAATATACAACATAGAGCTCTAGCATCAGTCCTTCAAGAAAATCCTACATGAACTTCCCAAGGAAGCAAGTCATCCCCACTTTTGTATCTCCTTGTTATTATCTGTTAGCTACTCCACAGCGTCATTGCACTTTCGCAAGTCTCTCTGCTTCTAAGTTCTTCTAGGGCAGAGTCAGTTTCTTCTCCCATTGATACTGGTAGACCAGTAAACACATGATCAGTTACCATTGATTGCATTCTAGCTAATAATAACCCTGTGTGTAAACATATCCAACACACTTACAAATATAATGTATAGAGGCTTTGATTATTAAACAATACACACAAATGAAAAACATAAATGTATACATACAAGGTTTGTGCATATAGCTGTTCAGGACTAACATGCATTGCTTGAAAGAAAAGCACATAAAGATATTTGATTAATGTGATCAATGGAAAATAAGCAATAAGGCATCTGTATTAAAGCTGAATAGTTAAAAATATATTGCCTCATTCATATTTATTCTAATTTGAGGTATAATCTATTAAAATATGCAATTAATGCATATGCCTATTTCCCCATAAACTTAGCTGATGAAAGAGACCTATTTGGAAATTTAAATATTTTCAACTTGAAAAAGAAAAATTAGGTTACATTATATATTCATAAAATACTGTACTTAATGTATAGTGATATGCTTCTTACACTGCTACAAAAAATAAGGTAATCATAATCTCAATGACCACCACTCATGTGTCAGTTTGTTGTCTTGTGGTGTCTTGGGTTTTGCTGTGATTCGGGAACTATGCTACTGGTATTTCCAATAATAGCAAGGTCATTCATTAACGGATTTCAGTGGAGCTTCCAAACTAACAATAGCTCAGGAAGAAGGAATGAGCTATCAGTTTATGAGAGATTAAAAAGCAAAAATATTTTAAATGGCAGAAGAACACTATCAGATACAGTGTTGGCAGGTGAGTCCCTCAGGTTGGAAGACATTCAAATTACTATTGGGGAAGAGCTGTCACCTCAAATTAGAGTTGACATTCATGATGTAGATAAAGCTTTCAGGACCTTTATTTGCTGATAGAGCACAACACAAAATGAGAAGAAATAGCTGCAAGCATCCATAAATCATCAAGATGTAGAATGCATGGAACTTGAAGTATGAATCTAGGAAAATTAGAAGCCATCAAAAAAGATGCAGAATATATTAAGGTGTTATCCTAGGAATTAGTAAGCTGGGGTGCAGTAGTACTGGGCTCTGTAAGTCAGGCAGTCATGTGGTTTCCTAAACCTAGAACGACAGATTCAAGAGGAATGATATCTTATTTTTCATCAAAGAGAATATTTCAAGATTTAAAATGTAATGTTGTTTGTGGTAGCACATTTTCTGTACAGCTACGAGGAAGTTCTAGTTAATGCAACTATTACTCAAAAATATGCACCAATCACTCAAGCTAGTGATGCACAAATTGAAGAGTCCTAGCAATTTCTTCATTCTGAAATTGATCAAAATGTAATCAAGGTGCATTGATAACTATTGGCAAGTGGAATGGAAAAATTAGAAATAAATGGGAAGGATCAGTCAATGCAAAATATGGCTTTAGAATATAGAAATATAGAATATAGAAACAAAGTTGGTGATCACATAATAAAATTTTGTAAGACCAATGACTTCATCATTACAAACATCTTTGTCCAACAACATAAACAGTTATTACACATGTGGGCTTCACCAGATGGAATATTCAGGAATCAAATGAACTACACTTTTGGGAAGAAATACCGAAAAAGCTCAATATCATCTCTTGGAACAAGACCGGGGCCTTCCTGTGGAAGAGACCGTCAATTGCTTATATGTAAGTTCAGGAAGAAGTTGGACAAAATTAAATAAATCCATGAGGGCCAGAATGTGATTTTTAGCCTATACTACATGAATTTTGAGCATCTCAACAACAGATTTGACTCATTTAGCACTAATGCCAGAAGACTTGATGAGTTGTGTGGCGACATTAAGAACAGCATATGCGATTAAAGCAGAAGAGCATTAAAACACAGAAAAGAAAGACAAAGTGGCTGTTAGAAGAGACTCAGACCCTGGCTCCTGAACTTCTAACTTTAGAGAACTGAATTGAACAGAATAAATAAATAAGTAAAAGAGCTGAACAGAAAAGTGCAAAGTGCAACTTGAGAAGACAAAGTATTCTAATAAAACGTGAAAGACTTGTAGTTAGAAAGCCAAAAAGGAAGAACAAGCAGGCTGAGCATGTCTCATGCTGAAAGAACTGAAGGAAAAATTCAAGTTGCAGGTTGGAATATTGACAACATATTGGATAATACATGAAGATTCAGAAAATGAGCGAAGGAATACACAGAGCCACTGTAGCAAAATGAATCAACATGCAACCATTTCAAGAGGCAGCATACGATTAAGAGCCCACAGTACTGAAGGAAGAAGTCCATGTCGTACCGGAGACATTGGTGAAAAACAAGGCTCCAGGAATCAGTGGACACGAATGGAAATATTTCACCTAGCCAAGAAAGCACTGGAAGTATTTGTTCATCTAGGCTAGTGGTCAGCAAACTGTGGCTCTTGAGCCAGGTGAGGCTTTTTGAGTATGCACATGGGTCTGAAGTAAAATTGAAAATTCAGATCATGGTGATTTCATTTGTTTGTAAAAATAGGTTTATTGTTCTTGAATAATTTTTAACTTGTTGTGAGAGATAGGGTTGTCTCTTCCACCTCAAAAGTTTACTGGCCCCTGGTCTATGCCAAGAAATTTGGAAGACAGCTACCTCTCCAACTGTTTGGAAGATATTCATATTTGATCATATTTGAAAGGGAGGTGGCCCAACAGAATGTGAAAGTTATTAAATAATACCATTAATATCCGTGCAAGTAAGGTTTTGTCATGCATTATTCAAAAATGGCTGCAGCAGTTCACCCACAGAGAACTGCAAGAAATTCAAGCCTAACTCAGAAAAGGACGTGGAACATGGGATATCATTGTTGATGGGTTTTGGCTGAAATCAGAGAATACCAGAAAGATGTTTACTTGTGTTCCATTGAATACAAAAAGATATTTAACTCTGTGACTTATAACAAACTATGGCTAGGCTAGTGAAGAAAGAGAATTCCAGAACACTTCATGGTACTCATGCAGAGCCTGTGTACAGATAAAGAGGCAGTTATTAAAGCAGAATAGGGAGATGCTGCAGGGTATAGAATCAGGAAAGGTGTATGTTAGGATTGTAGCTTTTGACCATATTTATTTGATCTGTATGCTAATCAAATATTCTGACTAGCTGCACTGTATGAAGAAGAACATGGAATCATGATTGGAGGAAACTTTACTAACATGCAGATAACCTTGAAGCACTTGCAGAGGAAAATCCAACACTGTAACCTGTGGTGTCGATTACAGCTCCATTTAAAGTAAACAAAAATCCTCATGACTGGGCCAGTGGACAACATCATGATTAGCAGGGAAAAGATTGACGCTGTCACAGATTTCATTTCACCTCAATCTATAATCAGGGCTTGCAGAACCAGCAGTCAGGAAATCAAATTATGTATCTCAGTGGTCAGATCGACTGCACAGGACTTCTTATGTTGTTGATGACCGATGTTGTTTTTTTGACTACTATGATGCTCCTCTCCTCCATGGTGGTTTTTTTCATTTCTTCTGCTGCTGATTGCTGGTAGATAATAATGATGGGAAAAATTGTTGACTTTTTTTTGTTGGTGTTGTTGCCAACTATTGTTGGTAGTGTGGTGTGCTGGAGGAGGAACTGACTCTTTTTTGTAGGAAGTAGTGCCTTCTTAGAGGGGAGGAGGTTCTTTCTTCTCTGCTTTTTTTGGTTTTTTTTGAGGGGCGGGTCGTGCTGCTATGGTGGCCTGCTTGTTGGTGTAGTACGTCGTTGTTGCAGGGGGGGATTCTTCCCTAGTTGGTTTGTTGCTGCGGCTTCTTCAATGGTGTTGTCCATCATAACTGTGAGCATGACAGAGGAGCAAGCAGTATTGCACTGTGCTGTGCATAGGGGTCACTATGAGTCAGAGCAGACGCAAAGGCACCTAACAGCATCAACAATAAGATAAATCATTGATTTTTTTTCTACTAAAATATTTAACTTGCATGACTTTCCATGATAATAAATTTATGTAAAAAAATTCAATTGTAAGTCTATGGAGTGGCAACCATTGAATAACTAACAAATCCATGTTTTTGTTATATATTATGATTAGGTTCTCCCTATTTAATATGTAACTGATGTATCATAATTCTAAAATAGCTTTAG